GTTTTTTATAATAATATAAATCGTATTCCCACTGCAGCTAAATCAATTTATGTTAATCAAATTAGGATTTGGTCGTTTTCATTGGCATAAGTTGATTTATGCAAGTGAAATAGCTTTTATATGTCAGATAATTCTGTGAAAGTTCCTGTAGAGCTTTTATTTTTTTACATTTCAGTTTTAGCAGATAATATTTAGTCTTGTATTGTTAGCAGAAGTTAATTATATATTGTTTGTGATATTATTCACAACATGAATAAAACAATAGGGGTGTGCAGAAAGCAACGTATCAAAAGCAATGCACCGGAAGAAATTAATAAGTTTTAAAAAAGGCCAAATAGTATTATTTTCCTCTAAATTCAATAAAATTACAAATAAATTTATTAAATATTTTTTCATTTTTGATTTTTATAATTAAATATCATTAATTAAATACATATTTATATATATAAAATACTTTTTTCAGCTGTTGTTTGTCTACATTTTACATATAACACATAACATAAGACACATATTTCAAATTTTGTTTATTTCCCTTGCGGAAAATTTATTTTTAATGGTTGCATTCGATATTTTTGACCTTAAATGAGTTAATTTATTTATAATGAGTTCACTTATATGAAAGTTCTCTGTATGCATGTTATAAATCAAATTAACTGCACTAACGAAGGCAATGAGAACATACTATAATGTTATTCGACAAGTAATTTCATTTCTTATCGAAATCAAAAACGATTTGCTTAAAGTGAATAAATATTTTATTGAACAATAATTTGTGCAATCTGGTTCAATACAATACTATCATCCTTTTGGCAATACTTGTATTCCACGCTCATGAAAGCTTTGTTCTTTGCTGATATAGGATTGAATCAGATGATTTTTGGTTACTTTATTTGTTGCCAACACTTTATATTGTAAAAATTTTTTTACAAATTATAAAAAATAATAATTAGAAGATGTTAGATCTGAAAAATAGTTGTAACAGCCATATTTTTATCCAAGCAATAAAAGTTTTTCACAAGTTACCAAACTTTATCATTTCCAGAGATGACATGTTTCAAAAATAAATCTTCATCTGGATGTGTGTAAAGCAAATCACAAACGTTAACATGACGACACAAATATCCTTCAGTAAAAACATGAGAAACCCATATGATGAGCTTGAAGATTAAAATAATCCTGAACATTCGAATTCTACAATCTTAGTATCTCACTAATCTTACGAGTTTTCATTCACCGGTTTGTATCACTTGATGCCTTTATTGTATTTTAATCACCTTTATTTGGCCTTTCAGAATGAACTGCACCTTCTACTTTAATATTGTCGGATCAGAATTTTGATGGACGATATATAACAGAAAAAATTAATCAAAATTGTTCGGAAAATAAAGAATCGACTTGAACGAAATTGCCAAAAAACTAAAAATTTTGCAGCGAAGCATTCAACGCATATTCCAAAATAAGCTCAAGGTAAACCCTTAAAAGTTTCAAAAGGCACAAGTTCTTACACCAAAATAACAAAAAGTTAGACTCGAAAGAGCAAGGAGATATGGACCCATGGGATTTTTAAAACAAGCATTGTAGACACATTTTCAAATGGCCATATCTCAGGCTATATAAATGATAAAAACTTAAACTTTATTGCGTTTTAAAGATAATTGATTGAACTTTTCAGAATTTGTTTAAATAATTAAATAAAAATAAATATTTCCAGTATGATTTTGCTTTTACAAGTAACTAAATTATTAGGCGTCCTACACGTCACTCATACGCACCATAATACCATTAAATCCATTTTCCAAGAAAAACGTTGTAAAAATATCACTTTTTTTTTTAATTTAAATTTATTAAATTTATTAAATTCTATATCTTTATCTCCATTTTTAAATTACGAATTTTAATATAATTAAACCGTTTTATTTCTTAGGATAGTGCACATGCCTGTATCCATCGTCGGTGCACAGCTGTTCACCCACTTTCTGCGCACTTAGAAGTCCCTCGTTGCCATCCCGGGATGGTGGGCGCTTACTTAGGGCCGGCGTCTACTCAGCTCAGCTAAGGAGCTTCTCAGGATTTTTTGTGACTTTTAAGCCACAACAGGCATGCCTTACCGCGGGAATATTCTAACCCCTGTTTACCCAAGGGGCATAAAACGGTTTAATTTAATTTAACATAATTAAACCATTGTTATTGCTGGTTTTGCGGAATATTGAAATATATTTTATATATTTTATAAATCTAAATATAAAATAACAAATACAATTTGAAATTTAATAAAGATATAGATATACTGCCTTCACATTTGCATGACTAATGACTGCCGGAATATAAAGTGAGTACCCCAGTAAATCATTTGTATACACAGTTATGACTGTGACTGTGTGTGTCATATTAATGGAAACTACTACATTACTGAGAAAGTAATAGTACTTTTTTCCAATAGACTAAGTACATGGTTGTTATACCTAACTTCAAGCTGAAGTTATTTTTCTATCATTTCTTAATAGGCATAAAAGCATTTGTGCAGTGCTCATTAGGAGAACCAAGTAGCTTCTACTCTCATCGGTGTCTTTAGATTCATAGGAGCTGCCTTTTTTTGTTTGTCTTCTCACAAAACAAGAGTTTTTATACTAAGTCAGCTGAGAGAATTACAAGGAAGCAACTTCAGGATTGCACAATGATGTGCTTAAGCGATATTCCCATCTACAAGTGGAACTTGTGAATGTGGGTCCTTAACAATAACACGAGTACACATAGTAAATCACTCATTGCCATTTATAGGCAATCATTGAGAGAGATTGTACTGAGAATGTAGATCAACTCGATCAAGTATTTAATAACTAAATAGTAACAAGAGTTTAATAAATATGTTTATGAATCTACCAGAATACAGAAAGTTAAGATAATCGATTTGTGTGCCAAGTCAATACTATTGTATAAACTTAAATCCTAATTTCTAATAGGTGCCGTTTTGTGAAATCTTTAACATATGGTTTGAAATAAATCTGAAAAAATTTTTTGAGGACAAAAAATTAATAGATATGACCATTGGTGGATATGATCCAATATCCTCTTCAATGCGTCATCAAAACAACAGCAGAACAGTTTGGTGTATCAGTACAGTGTACCAGCTTGGGGATACACAAATTAATTATCGATATAGCATACATATATAACACATTATGTCTATAATCTGAATAATATTAATAACTTTTAATTTTTTTTATTTCAGCATTATTTTTTTACTTAAAAAAAAAATTGATTGAATGGTATTAAATTGTAATAAAATAAAATTTTATTCTTCTTAAGTAGTCTTATATTTTTTATGTCTTTTATGCTTTTTAATAGCACCATAAAGATTTTAGGTGGATATTTCTATATATAGCCAAAATTGACATCCCTCTAATACGCTTTTAAATGATTTTAATATAAATTAAAATTTGTGGTATTATTTCCAGGTATCAATATTAACCCTTTCTTGAAAATTGTTGAATTGTTTATCTCTTAAAATCTATATATATTTGTACAGTTATATTTTGTATATACCAGGGGACTATTTTTTTGTAAATGATTACAATATTAATAATTAAGAAACGTTAACAGTTTTGTAATTATATATTGACAATCTTGTGTTATATATTTAATCCATCTTTTTTTATTAATTTTAATATATTCTTAATACTAGTTATTTTTTAATAATATTTATTTATTACATGTTTCAATATTATATAAAAGTTTATTATACATTTGGTTTTTCCTTTGTTAGGTGGAAGACATACCAAAGTTCTAACTAAAATAAGATCACTAAAGTACCTTTGAAAAATATATCTAAGATTATTGAATTATGAGTATATGAGAATGACGATAAGAAGTTTTAGATAATCTCTTTTGTTTGGTACCCAATCGCCTCAATGTTTACTATTATTTTGATTTATTTTTAATAATTAAATATTTTTTATATATTGAATTACTGTTATAAAAATGAAATACAGTCAAACTTCCATAACTCGAAGACTTCGAGTTAGAGAATTTTTTATTATTTTTTTATTTTTGAAAGAAACTAGAATCACATTAAAAGATATTTATTTATTTGCAATCAAATAAAACACAGAAGTTATAGTGAAGTAAAATATTTGGAAATTAGGGTTTGGGACTTTAATTTTTTTCTTATTTTCAATAAAAAGATATTCCACTTTATTTATACTCTTATGATCACTATAAGAGTATCAGTTGTACTATCATTCGTTTGCAAATATGAATTCAGAATATTGAATGAGTCTTCTACTTCATTCATGGAATGCTGATGCACAATTACATCCACCGAACCTTACCACCTTATCATCACTTTTCGTTGCGTCTAGAATTGGATCCAGTAATTTAGAGCTATAGTACTTAATAATATCGTTATCTGTAGGAAAGCTTGATGTACAAATTTCATTGTCAAGCTCAATATAGTCGTTAAGAGTAGCATTGGGAGTTATTTACTTTAAACCACGCTGCCAGCAACTGGCATTTGCACAAAGAAGCAACATAAGAAAGAATAAATTAAACATTTGATTCGGAAAAAGGGACTTCCCCTAACAGCAAAATGCATTTATACTTAGAACAAAAATTCGATTTATAGAATGCACTTTTCCACATTCCTATTGGAACGGAACAAGTTATAGAGTTATAGAGAAATTCGAGTTATAGAAGTTCGAGTTCTGGAAGCAGAATTGTAGATAATTTGCTCTCTGAAACCTTGGTGCACTGTTTTTGGTTCGAGTTATAGAAAATTCGATTTATAGACGTTCGAGTTATGGAAGTTTGACTGTAATATTAAAGTTTTGAGCGTGGATGATAATTACGTGTTAAACCAATATATCCATATACCATAGATTCATGAAAAACAATCTAGAAAACTTAGCAACTGACGATTTTATTTATTTTGAAAACAAAACAGTTCGATTTTGTTTAAAAAATAACAGGAATTAAAATTTCATTTAAAAATATCGTAGCAACGAATTTGTTTTAAGTTTGTTTCTATAGAAATTCTAGTAAAATTTTTCTTTTGTCAAGTCAAACTAATGAACGGTGTTTCATTTATAAATTTTCGGAAAAGTGGTAAAGAACATTAATATATTTTATAAATATGGCGGAGGAAAAAAAGGTGCCGGATGATGTTGCCGGCGTAGATGTAAGCTAAGGATCGCTATTTTATAATAAAATGGAAATAATCTTTATCATTTTTTTAATAGACCGCGGCAACTTTAATGCAGGATGATTTCAGTTTGGACGATGATGATGACGACGATATTGGATATGCAGTGAGTAAAAAAAACTTTTGTGGGGTGTTTCAGCAACTTTGTGGGGTGAAATTTTTTGGTTAAAATCATTAGCCAATATTTTTTATAAACCTCGTTAAAAATGTTAATTGAGTTTTTACATATTTCGACGAGTTGCGGAAGAGATTGTCTTTGATTTTAAAATTTCTGAAAGGATCTATTCCGTAATGGCTTAATAACAATTTGTTCTTATGATGTTATTAGTTCCCCTTATGTGATTATTTTTCACAAAGTAATGTTTGCCAATAACTTTAGTTTGTATCAGCAGAAGTTGTCAATGGCAATTTAATCTAGCTTTCAAAATCGCGATCAAGAGAAGAGAGAAGACTGTGCATCAAGAGTTTCCAAAATTCTTTGGAATTTGAGTCATATAAGACATTATTTAAAAGAAAGGAATCCAAGAAAAATACTATGATATCAAAAAATGTAGAGGTGAAAAACCTATAGAGAAAGGCAGACTTGCACTTAGGACATCAAGTAATAAAAAAGTTCATCAGAGTTGGTAAAGAAGTTTACTGACTTATTTAACTTACTTGTTTAGCCATAACAAGACCGTTGCCGGGTTTCGGCATAATGCAGAGGGGGTCGCGAACCCCTGGGAGCGATTACGCAAGGCAACGTGTCTGATTGCATTTAACATAGAAAATGACAGCGCAATCCTTGTCCTTCTCAATTCAAGTTGTCGCACAGCCTCCACGTGGCATCCCTGGATAATTACCTGGTACTCGCTGTATAATGAACTAATAGTGCGTAGAGCGAGTCCTATGCCCAGGATTTTAAGTTTGGGTTGTGCACAGGGTTTGACAGTCGTCACGTAAAATCAGTCGCCAGTGCATGATGTAAGGTAAAAAATTTCAGTGTTGGGATCACAAAATCTTAAAACTGTAATTAAGTTGTTGAGAATAATAATATAGTTCGAATAATATAAACATAGCGTCCAATATCTGCGGATGGTTTAAATCGAGTTCAGTCGATATCAAATCAATTGTTAATTTATTGTAATATTCCTTTATTTCTATTAGAAATTGTATACTAATTTTTTAAAAGTTCTGAATATTATAGATATTAGAAAATTTCATTATCCATAAAATTGTGAATAAAGGGAATGAAATATTATGTTCAAAATGAAGAGTACCGAGTCTATTAAATTAGCATAATTCCTGATTAGTATGATTAGGCGATTTCCTTTTCTATATCTATAAATTTATAGGAAAGTGTTTACCTGATGGTTTATCAGAATGCTCATCAGTAAGGAAGATAGATTTGTAGAATTAAATTAAGATTTAACTCAATCAAAGCTAAAATATTTGTTTTTAAACATTTTTTTTAATCATTATCTTCTTTAAGGAACCATTGCGTGACAATGCTGATAGTTCCAATAACCCACCATGTTATATGCCACAAGCTGGCGACAATATACCTAGCGATGATCATTTAAAACCCATGAATGCAGTTGGTCCATATGCAACGGGAAAGGTTGATTGGTCACCATTGGGCGGGTTAACTGGTACTCGCCCTGTTGTCGATCGTTATTCAATAACACGCTTCAGTCCAAATGAGTGGCGTGCAAGGAACAATGACGTCATTAACAGTGTTTTGAAAAATTTTGAAGATGAGGAGCAGTAAGTAACATTCAAAGATTATATTTACTTTTTGCTATTCTTCTAATAAAATCTCTCTTTATTATTTAAAGAAATAAATACAGATGTAATACTTCATGTGAGCGTATAACGCGCTTGGTAAATCAAACCCAAGATGATACAAATGATTGTTTAAGACTACGTAGCCATACCATGAATAAATGGAAGAGAATGCTCGAGGATGCGATTAAGGCCATGTCTGATGAAGTAAGTACAATGGAAGTGGAACGTATACGTTTGAAGAAATCGCTTGTTATTTTGGGTGTACCAGAATCTATAGGTAATTCTTTGATTATATATGAGATTTATAATAAATGTAAAATTTGTAAATAATTTATTTTTTAACATACATAAAGCCAAGGAATGTATTGAACTGCGCACTGGACGTCCCGATACTGAATTAGTACGCGATAAAGTTGAGGAAGAGCTGATTATTGAGTTAGCTTTAATTTCTGAAATACGTATGCTTCTTAAAAAAACACTAGAAGATTTTGAAGCGCAACAAGTAGAAAATCGCACTGCACGTGAACGTTTGGAATTTGATTGGAGTGACAAACTACAATCAACAATGATCGATACACACAATCTAAGTTTGACTAATGAATCCAAAATAATAATGTTTCGCCCGGGTGCTATACGACAACCACCAGAGTAAGCTACAATTTTGTTTTATGTGAAATAATACGACTTTAAAAATCTTATATATAGGCAATCTACAGAAGTTTACTGGGAGCACTTCAGCAGAGAATCATTAGAGAGTTGTGAACAATGTAGACAACGTTCGGTAATATAAAAATATTTTCTTTTATTTATTATTTTATTTATTATATTTATTTTATTATTATATATTATTATTATATATTATATTTATTTTATATATACATTGTGACCGAAAAAGCTTTCGGAAATTCTCATTTAAAATTCGCGCGCTGTATATTTTTCGATATTTTAAGTTTATGTAGTTTGGCAGCACTGTCCTTAATTACTATGCCAAAAATGAGCGCGATCTGTCGGACAGTTCGTTTACGGCAGCTGTTGAAACCAGTTCACCTCAGTAGTGCGTTGCGAAAAAAACAATGGAAAAAAATATTGAACAAAGAGTTTGCATCAAATTTTGTTTTTCGAACGAAATTTCGTGTGCAGAATCGTTGCGAATGCTACAAAAGGCTTATGGGGAATCAGTTTTATCGAAAACTCAAGTTTATGAGTGGTACAAAGCCTTTCAGGACTGTCGTACGACCGTCGAAGACATGCCGCGTTCTGGACGACCTTCGACCTCTACCACCGACGAAAACATTGAAAAGGCAAAGGAAATCGTGTTCAAAAATCCTCATGTGAGTGTTAGAGAGATAGCACGAGAGCTAGGCATCGGTCGTGAGATGGCTCGTTTGATTTTGGTGGACAATTTGTGTATGCGACGTGTCAACGCCCGGCTTGTTCCGATTCACCTCAATTTGTTCAACATTATCAACGATTTTAAGGCCAAACATTCAATAAATACCATCGAACAGCCACCGTATTCACCTGATCTTGCACCGTGTGACTTTTTCCTGTTTCCCAACCTCAAATTACCACTCAGAGGAACGCGTTTTGAATCCATAGAAGACGTAAAACAGAATTCGCAGAGGGAACTCAAAGCCATACCGGAAAGCGCCTATAAAAAATGTTTTGATGATTGGAAGAAACGTTGGCATTTGTGTATCGCTTCTAATGGAGCATATTTTGAAGGAGATAAAATAAATATTGATGAAGATTAAGAATTTTGCGTTTTATTTAAAATTTCCGGAAACTTTTCGGTCACAATGTATATATTTATATATTTTATTTTAATTTCTTATATATTTTTTTACCTAAAAAAAATTAATCGTATATAAATATGGATAAAAAAATCAATACTCTGTATTTAAAGAAAATATTTCTAAACTACTTCTAATTTTTAGAAAACTTCAAAAATTAGAATATAATTTCTTATGAATAATCCTTTGATTATTCTAGATTAAAAAAATGTGTCTTGTAGTTGTCAGCAGATTAGTGACAAACTGTTCCTATTTCCTGTAAGTCAGTATTTAGACCTTCGATATAACACGTTTTTGATTTTCTAGTAATCATTTCATATACCAATACAGATTCTTTCTTCCCAATTCTTTTCATGCAGAAAATTATTTAAAGAAATGCATCTTATGGATTGAGTTTTACGATAATCATTGGGATCCTATAATCAATATAATTTTTATTGATTAATTAATACACCTTCTCACCACTATATTCGCTGAGATCCTTTTTGTGCAGTTAGTGTAGAAATTATTCCTCTACAGTTTCCAATATATTTTAACTGGTACTTACTCTCTATAATCTTAGTTCAACACGAATTTTTTTCTAAAATAAAAACATGTCTTTATCAGTATTCACCGACTTAAGGTGAGGTTAAATTGGAAAAGTAGTTTTGTACACCAAAGCATACTTAAGCTCTAATAATTGCTAACATAAATTCGACTTTGATAGACATCAGATAGTACGGACAAGTTCTGTATATATGCAATCCAAAAAGAACTTTAAAAGGATTTCAACGTTGTAGTCTGCCAAGTTCTCAGTCAGGTTCATAAAAAAAGGTGACTCAAACTTCTTGAGCAAAAATGGAAATTGACTCTTCAGAGCCACAACCATGACATATAGCATAGATATCTCACAGCATGATACCGTAGTACTGAGCATTTTCCCCTTTTATTGAAGCATTTGACTGGTACGCTTGTTTTCCAGTTTGGACCAAGTCAATCTTGAGAACTGACAGAAATTTTTATCTATCCATCTAGCCGTTTTTTTTTTCTATTATATCTGCGAAACAATGCTGCTAACATAAAGCAGCATTAGCAACTTACACTGAAAGCAAGTATGTAAAGAAATGTTAGTGTACATGACCCTTGGGTAGTGTCATTCACTCCATTTTAGAAGCTATTTTGAATAATTGTTGTGTGTGTTAAAATGAATACTTTTACGGATAGTCTATCTCCTGAGTCATACCAGTGCTATTAAACCTAAATTAAATGATGTTTCATACAAGTTTTTTTATATTTCAACTTTCAAGAACTTATATTATAGTATAATATATATATATATATATATCTTATATATATTACTTATTTGCGAAAACTGACAGACTTACCAACACCGCGTTACGGGCTCCTCGGGGAGGTATGCAGATCTGGGGTCAATTATTGCTTAGTCTGATGAAGTGATAAACAATAATCTAGTCAAAGCGCAAAGAGAGATTTTGAAGAAACCTCACAGTTAATAGAGAGTAAAAGTGCTCAGGTGCACTGACTTAACTAGCCCCAATATAATAAATATACATTATACACATACATTTTATCACTTAAAAAGAAAATGCTCTGAATATATAATAATTAGGGAATAAAGCTTAAATATACTTGCTTATTTCCAGATTGAACTTCGTCAAACATTGAACGCAATTTTGACTAACGCAGCTCGAGACATACGTTCACAGGCGGATATCGTGGAACAGTGTTTCATATCCCGTATCAATTGCACACAAGAGGTCCTTACACGCTTCGAAAATGAACTCCGCAATGTAAGTACAGATTTTTTTTTGTTGCCTTCATTATTTAATTTATAATTAAAACATATTTACTGATAGACAAATAACTACACTATCCGTCAAGGATATGTTTGAAATACCTGTAAAAAATTGATCTCTCAATTATTTTTTTCTTGACATTTTATCAACAAATTTTAGCTTTTAAAAACTATACTGCATTTTTCAAAGATACAAAACCCAACCTCTTGATAGATAACAAAATGATATTGCTGTTAAAAATCTTTACCAAGTAGTACCATTTAATAAAATTTTGAAGCCTAATACCTCCCACATGAAAACTATATGCTCCATGAATATAAATATATTCGAATAGAGTGGAAAAAATAAGAGGGTGTTAACGTCTCACAGCCCAAGCTTTAGTATCTTCTCAAGGTTTCCCGTTTATATGCATTTTCTTTACATATGAGTGTTACATATTAAATAATTGAAAATGTCTTCAGATACAATTTTAATTTAATTATTGCAGTTTTCATAGTTTATAGATTTTTTTAGCATTTTATCACTCTGATATAAACTTGTTTCCCACGTATCTATCTTAGAAGTGAACACCACTTCGACCTATCCACTGGTTCAAAGTGGGGATTTCCTACATATAATGCGTATTGAGAAATTTCATCTATTAAACACATCATAGTTTCAGTTTTAGAATGATTTATTCTGAGTCTTACCTAAGTAGACATGCCTTATATTTTTTTATATGATGTTTTTAGAACATGCTAAATATTGTCAGCATAAGAGCAGATTTGGGTGCCTATTAGGAACACTTTTATCGGTATCAGATCTATTTATAACGGCGTATAGTATTAGTAGCAAGTCTAATATTGTATGGAGAATAATGGTTAACCTCAAAAGAACTGAATTTTACTTGTTCTTTCTATGGTATACAAGAATTTTCCTGTTTTTTTAGTTCAATCTTATTTATCTTGCTAGTTCCCTCGAACTTTTTTTGCGCTGCTACTATGTTACTTGGTTGCAAAGCTCGTCCCTCGAGGTCATAAATACCACTCAAAATTGGATGAGTAAATGTATATATTTCTACTTTCTTTTACAGTGTCTAAGCAGATTGGCCGAAACGGAAAGACGTATCGATGACCTTCAAGAAAGCATTCGTAAATTTGATAATGGCATGAAGGTTGCTCAAACCCGCATGGATAATCGTAATATGCGTCCAAATGTTGAAAATTGTCGTGATGCTCCGCAAAAGGCACTTATTGATGAAGTCAAAGTTATACACTCCAGTGTCACTAACATGCTGCAAGAATTGGATTCAGCCGAGAAATGCAAAACTGATTTGATGAATTTACGTGGTACTTTGGAACGCGAAATTATGTTAAAGCGTCGTACTATCCTCTTGGATCGTGAACGTTGCATGCGTCTACGTTCATTCTATCCATCTGCTGATACACTTACCAACATCGCCATATAATTTTGATTATCTTATATCATATATTACTTATATATGTTATATGTATTAATTAAGTTTTATAAATTTAAAGTCTTAAGTTAATTATATACGATAAAATATACTATAAATTAAAATGTGCTTTAAAATGAATAACTTTCAAACAAAAAAATAAAAACAAAAACGGAATTAATAAAAAAATATTATCAGTTTTATTTTTATTTTATTTTATTTTTTTTATTTGTTTTATTTCCATTAATTTGATCACCCTATTTATATATACAAGTACTTAATATTATAAATTATAAAACATGCATGTCAAAATTAAAATTACTCCATAAAGAAAACATAAAAATAAAATAAAATAATATATTTCATGTATATTTAAACATATATATTTTTATATGTATATATAAATATATAATTATATTATGAAATAAATTGACATTAAAAAATAATTAAAGTATAAAACAATATATAATAAATCAGTTCATTCATAAAATTAATATTTTAAAAATTTTATATACCTCCGAGATGCAACTAAAGGTATTTGTAAATTAATTAAGAGAATACCTTTATATGTTATGTCTATAAATAATATATATATATATAAAAAAATATATAAAAATCTTTATAATTTTTATTACAGAGTATAAATTAAAATTTTATATGCATAATTTAAGAAAATGTTTCCAAACTTATTTTAAAATAATTAGATTGTTTTTAAATTTTTAACAAAAATTTTGTAGTCCTACATTAAAAAACGTAACCCAGAGTTTCCAAGTTTTTCAAAAGTGCAGCATTTGTAACCAAATTATCAATCCATAAATTGTAAGGATAATCCTCATGTACACCACCATATCTGAAATAAGAAAATCAAAAGAGAAATTTAATATCATACTAACCAAATTAGGTAAATAAGCTAAAATCCAAATAAGTAAAAATCAACATAAACTAAATGGACTTTAATAAATACCTCAAATTTCCAAAACCATTCTCATCTCTACTTAAACCCCTCCCTTTTCACACTACCAATACCTAATCATATCATAACAGATGTATTCGTCTTGTAATTCATTTCATGTTATCTGCTTTATAGATCCTTATGGGTCACAACAACAACAACAACAAATGAACTAATATATAACCAATATATGGGTCACACTTTCACAAGCGGAACGAATGTTATTTGTCTAAAATTTTTCAATGAGATCTACTTTTAGAATAAAAAGATTTAAAACTTTTTGTTTAAACTATATAGTCAAAACTGTGGGGTTTTGAGAATTGGTAGTTTAGATCAAATTTTAAATGGTAGTATATCGAAATAGTAAGCAATAAAGACTTGAACTTTGTTCTGCGTTATTAAAACAATTAATTAAACATTTAAGAAATAGTTTAAACAATTGAAATTGTTTCCATTCTGTATATTTTTCTTTATGCTCAAAACCTAAGTTTTGAAAGCTTTGTCATTGTCACGGTCTCATAACCAAATCAGAGTTACTAAACCGTGCTCTCAGTATATTGTTTGATGACAATATCTGGACCAAGGTGCTGGCTAGACACTCGAAATTAGCACCGTAGATATATATAGCCCTACGACTCTCTGAAAATTGATGGCTTATCTTGCCCACATATAATAATCTGGCTCGTTTACTGTGAATATAACCAAATAATTAAAGTAACTAAAAAAAAATAAAAAATAAATAACTATAATTAAATTACTTAATTAAATAACTATATAATTAAAACAAGAATTGAAAATTAATTATATACATATAAATAAATAAATAAATATAAATAGATTGATATAAATAAATATATATAAACAAATAAATATATATCGTCCGCGTGTCTTTGTGTCAGGGATGTTTGTGTTTGGAAACTACCCAGATCTGTATATTTATTTATTGTGTTCAAACTTTCTCCAGTTGATAATTTAAAGAAAAAAAATTGTTTAAAATATATGGTACGTAATATATGGTTTTAAATTTTTATTTATATCTTACATTCATTACATTCAAATTTTTTTAAAATCTGAACTTTTCTCGGTGATGTTATTTTTAAAAGTATTTTTAAAAAATTAATACAACCTGGATTTCATGTATAACGTATACGCACTAAATTTTAGTTAAATAAAATTTAGATAGAGCACAAATATTTATTTTTTATTTTAATTTAATAATTTAAATTAAATTATTCATTAAATTTTACTTAAAAATTGAATTTTTTGGTTTGAAATTATTTTTAGAATATATTTTTAAAAAAATTAATTATATTAAAATTAATTAAACTCCGAAAAGTATACTACATAAATATTTTTTTTTTATGACTGATTTCCATCTATTACGTACATATGATTGATGCAATTAATTACTTAGTTAATTAATTAATTTTTTAAAAAATTTTGCGTGTATAGTGGGACAAGATAACAGATGGGCGACGTCATAGAAGATATGGTATAGCTGCAATTTGGGCACACAAAGGCATGACATCATTAGCAAAAGGGTGAACCAACATTTTGTAAACAAATAAACAGCTGACAAAAATGTTGTGTTATCAATAACTTTAATAGGAGGTTTTATTAGTTTTAAGTAAGAAAATGTAACCATTGTTATCTAAAGCACAGCTTATGAAAACTTAAACATTGAATGCTTGTACGATTGGAGCAAAGAGGTTTAGTTTATAATCAAGATAAAAACAATTTAGTATGATATATCATATAATATGTAGTATGACTTCTTAAATGTTTGTATTTAGGATTTATCTTAATTTCTATAAAATGTAGTAGTTTCGACGCTTGTATTACTAAATTTTTTACAAGGTACCAGAAATACCCATGCTATCAATTATTTACTTAATTTTACATTCTAAGCCTTATTAAAAGTGCAAATGACTTTTTCAAAATATACTTACCTCTTTGGCAAATGATCGGGACTTATATGCTTATGTAAGGAATCCATTTTATTGCCATGAATGTAGAGTTTCTCACGCATCGTAGCATTCAAGAAAGGTTTAAATGCATTAAATGCAGCATTAAAAGCCCAATTTTGATTGACAATATGTATGGCATGCGTACGTATGGGCATAGAAGTCTGAAATGAGTAATATGTATTACATCTACAAGCATATACATTAAAAAATTAATACTATTCCTTACCACCAGTAATGCAATCATTTTTTGTGCTACACTTGGACTTAAATGTAAAACATGATTTAATGAAAGATTTTGCAAATCAAAAATCCCAACTCCACCAACAACTTGTGAGATCGGTTCAAGTGAACCCAATTCGATTAGGACAATACTAGCACGAAATATATCATCGACACTAATACGACTTGGTTTCCATTCACCAAAACGATATATTATAATACGATGTCCATGCTGATCTCTATATGGTGTAACAGTAACTATATTATCGTCTCCAACGAATTTCAAATCTAGAGGACGAACTTTTTCATAATACGACTTATTATGTTCACGAAATTTATAGTAATTGCTCATCTGTATATGAAAAAAAATTTTGGGAGATTATATATATTGCAACAAAATAATTGATGAAACTTACAAGTTTATAGCTAAGATCAATTTTCCAACTCCGTGCACGTAAAAATTTTATAAGAAAATCATCATCGGTACGTTGTGGCTGAAACTCGTCATGTTCTACAAAAAAAGATATAGACGTTTGATATTTTAATTAAGCTTTTCAAAGAATAGTCTTCATTTTACCTAATATGTAGGATCGAAACTCTGCAATTGCATGATGTTTACTTAACTCACATTCCCCTTGTTCGCTTGCTAACGTCTTATATGGCTCTGGCATTTCAGGACCCAAGTCCATATCATGTGTAATCTGTACTGAAGGCATTGTGTTATGAGATCTGGAAGAAAAATATTTGTAATTTAAATTTAACTAAAACTGAAACTACATTTAGCGAAGATAGTAATTAAAATATATTACAAATAAATATTTTTTATGCACTTAAAAAATTTTTTTTTATCAATATATTCATAGGTACATGATTTTTGAAGTAAATTTCAAAAAACATATATTAAAAAATAAATAAATAATAAGTAAATAAATAATAAATAAATAAATAATAAATACATAAATAATAAATAAATAAATACGTACAAATTAATTAATTTTTTGATGAAATACTTGACGTGGAAGAAACATATATTGAATAGGTCTGAACTGAAGCGAATTTTAACTGGTACCTCCGACTTTTCAGTATACGAACGAACGAACCACATACGAAACCATTGTGCCTTAAAAAAATAGCAAATGATGGTCAAATTTGCTGTGGTGTTTCATTTATTTCAAAGGTACGGCAGCCTATGTCTATAAGTGGACAACCTCACTTCATCTTAATAGATGGAGAGAGTTGAGCACTTGTAGACAGACCAAACTTATGTTGCCGAAACCGTGGACCAGGGAAGCAATAAAAGTGCTTAACTATTCGCGGAGCACCCTAAGCTGGCTGACGTCACTAATTACTGGACATGGCAACTTCAAGTATCACCTCAAAAATATAACTCTTGCTGAGGAAGACACTTGCAGACTATGCCTAGAAGAAAAGAAAACAGCGGTGCATATATTGTGCCAATGCCCAGCACTGGCAAGTGAGAGGAAGACTGTCTTGGGACACCATTGGATTGGTGATGACTTGGCAGAAAACCTCAAGCTAAATGAGCTGCTTGCATTAACAAAAGATGTAGTTATGCGAACAGCAGCCACCCCAGCTTTAACTCAATAACAACATCCGAGAATCGAAGGATGAAAAACGACCCAAGTAGTTTCGTGGTCTACTTCGACTAATCCTTTACTTCAGTGGGGCAACTTGTTGGACAGTGCGCTATCCCAACGTCCCACCATATATATATATTTCAAGGGTAGAGTGAATCTACCATAGCCCCCACTGGGTTTTTAATAATACTTATTTCATATTTATGGAACCAACCGTAAAAGACTTTATAACCAAAGGTAATCAGCAAATTTATTGGTACTTATTCGGCAACTAAAAATGGTCAATCAAACGAATTTAATTTTTCACTGCTAAAGGCCTAGGTTCACAAACCTCCAAATTTTTGGTGATGCTTCAGAATAGGGCTTAGGATTCAGTAATTACTGTAGCATCTATAACAATAAAGAAGACGAATTATTTAATAAATGCTTTTTTTGCTTTCATTTCTATCTAAATTTATTAATTTATCTTAAAGGTCGACATCGCTAAGAATAGGCGTTTTATCCAATAATTACTATAGCCCCTGCAACAATAAGAAGTACGAATAATCTATTAAGCATCTATTTTGCTCTTATTCAGCACTTAGTAAGAAAGTGATAAGTTAAGGATGTTATGTTGGTGATGCGAAATTAGAAAGGTTACTGTTTTAAGCCTTGTTAACAAAAGAGTCCAGTTAGGGTTCAATAATTTAGGTTCCTATTGCAGTTCCGTGGGATAGACCATTATATAAGGAAATACATTCTTTACCGTATGTCACTAAATCACAAATACCATGTGTAGTCTACCTATTTGCAAAAGCCATCCCAACTATTTATTCAAGTATTATATCACTATGTACAAAAGTCGAGATCGGACTCACATATTTGATATCTGATACAGTATCTTTATATTTAAAAGATACATTTATTTGTTAATTTCAAACATTATCACGTAAAAATTGTATGTATTATTAAAATATAGTTTATTAAAATTTTTTTGTTTTTTATATCAATTGTTTAAATTATTTTACTCATTAATTAATGGTTACACCTAGTAATTTCACGGTTGTGCAGACTATTAGTTTTTCTAATAGAATATGTATTATGATAATAAACAAATGTGGAATAACAAATACAAATATTTTTAATTGTTTATAATTTGCTAAAATAATTATTTTTTTAAGTATTCCCAATAAATTATATTGTTAACTATGCAAAATTATCTAAATGACTATCATTTGGGAGAAACACTTGTTCAATACTTATTATCATTATTACCCACTTTTAAAAACATCTTTTAAAAAGACGGCTATTACACTAATTAAGACGATTTGAATATAACCCATTTTAACTGCAATTGCTAAGTAGCAAGTAAATAGTCTCCAACAATCATGGCCTAGGGCTTAGTTACCGGTTGTGAACATTAATATCTGCTTCAAATGCAATTAGAAATTTTTCAATAATAATTTTAAACATTTTTTATTTCTGAAACGTACATACTATACATATATGAGTTAGATCATGGAGATTATAGCTTAAACAACAAGTAACATACTTAAAACAAATACAGTTTAGCTTTTGTGTATATGGAATAGTTTGAATTGTTCAAATACTAAAAATTTAATTTTTAATTGCAAACTTATAATACGTTCACACTGGCGCAATTAATGCATTTACACAATTAACATGATAATTTCAAAGTAATTACGCGTATTTTCTATATTAGCATGTTCAAAATAATTGCTTTAGAACAGCACAATTATCAAATAGTTGCCATTTGCATTAAAACGTACCTTCCAATGTGGCGTCCATAGGTAGAAATGTAAATTGGTAAATATATATAAAAAAATATGTCGGTGAATTATATTAAACCAAGATTTCAAACAAAACAAAAATAAATATTCAAGGGTTATGCAATAATGAATGTAATGAAATGAAAAAACATTAAAAAATCTGGCTTATCTAGTAGTTGACCATATAATTGGTTTATTTAGAATCCCTATTATTTGATATATTATTATATATTATTTGAAATTTGTCAACGAAGTGACAAACTTTGATATTTAATAAAAATGGTCCATGATTTTTCAAAAGACCCCACAGTAAATCCTTCTCACTCATTAATTTGACTTCTTACCACTATGTAGTAAACGCTTTGAAAAAATATTTATGTCATAGTCATAGCACAATATGACAAAAACATAGTGTTTCTTCTTATTTTTCAACGATGTTAATCGTAGACATCTGGGTTTCTAGCAACAAAGTTCAAAAATTGGCATTTCAACGGGTTTTGAGAATTTCCAACGCAGATAGTGACCCCACATTCATCGAACGCATCATAGCTGGTGATGAGACATGGGTCTATGAATTTGACATGCCCATCAAACAACAATCGACCGAATAGTGCTTCGAAGGTGAGCCGAAACCGAAAAGAGAACGCCAAAGTCGGTCCAAAATCAAGGTTATGCTGACTGTTTTCTTCGATATTCATGGTATGGTCCACTATGAATTCCTTCCGGACGGTCAAACGGTCAATAAGGAGTATTATTTGGCCGTTATGCGTCGTTTGCGTGAGGTCATTCGCAAAAAGAGGCCAGATTTATGAAAGGAAAACTCATGGATTTTACACCACGATAACGCATCGACGCACACAGCGTTAGTTGTGTCGCAGTTTTTGACCAAAAACTCCACCAATATCATCAACCAAGCACCATACTCTCCAGATATAGTCGCGTGTGACTTTTTCCTCTTCCCCCGACTCAAATTGCCATTGCGAGGAACGCGTTTTGAGACCATAGAGACCATAAAAGAGAATTCGCTGCGTGAACTAAAGGCCATACCTTCGGCGACCTATAAAGCTTGTATGGAAAATTGGATCAAGCGTTGGCATGCATGTATCATAATCTTAACTAACACTTAAGACAATATAGCTTTTGGTTGTTTCCGAAAACACATATTAATATAATATACAGAATATGCGTGATATGTCATAATAGACCCCTTACTATCCCCTTGCAGCTGCATTGAGAGCATTTATTCTAACGTCTGTTGTAAAAGAAATAAAACAGTGTTTTTAGTTTTCAATCAACTTCAATGCTTTGTTTTACAAAATTTGCTATACACGTATAACTATAGCATAAAAACCTACACCGCCGGAGTAAAACAGAAATGTCTTCTTACACATTTTTAGTTTATCTTATTTATTGATGAAGTTATGAGCGAAAAGGTTTGAAAAGGTAAAGAAAAACTGACACTTTCTTCGAAAGTCTCAAAAGAAATCGATTTAAATATAGTCTAAAATTAGAAGTATTCAGACGTTATTGTAAGTCCAAATAAATTTTTAACAAATATACTTAAATTAATATTTGGAAACTTGGAAACAAATCGGACACCTTTTTGACCTCATGACCGCCGAGTTGGCTGAAATTTTTTTTTTGAGAGCTCTTTTTATAAAACTAGAAGACCCATACCATACAGATATGGACCCATGGTGTCTTGAGAATTGGTATTGTTGACACATTTTCAAATGGCTATATCTCAAGTTTCAAAAATTGATATAATGGTGTTCTGGTGCGTATGAGTAATGTGAAGGATGCCTGATAAATTATTTTTTTTAATTACTGATAATAATTAATTTAATTTAAACAATTTCTGAAAATCAATTATCAATTATCTTTGAAACGCAGTAAATTTTAAGTTCCTACCTTTTATAGAACTTGAGATATGAACATTTGAAAATCTGACTACAATGCCAATATTCAAAACACCATATTTTCTAGGAAAAAAATCACAAAATTTTTTTTCCGAGATACGGGTCTTCTTATTTTATGAAAAGAACTCATAAAAGAAATTTCATTCAAATCGGAGATCATGAGGTTATTTTTAAGCAAAAAATGAAATTATTCCATATACTATCACTACAAGGCACTAGGAATTTATATTTTTTTAAAGTAAACATTGAGATAAAACTTTGTGACACTGAATTCTCTTTTGTTCATTTCTCAACAGGGGTAGGTTATTTTAGAACTGCTTAACTCTAATCTACATCCAGTTTATCTAGATCTCTAGATCTGACATCAAGATCTCCAACAATAACCTATTAAAATTTAAAAATTGAGTTTATAAGGGATTAATATAAATATGTTATTTTATCAGATTCGAGTTTCAAGTCTGTAGTAAATTTGCTATGAATTAATTGATAATCATTATAGTCTTGAACATCCTTTCTCAAATTCTCCACCTTTTAGTACAAAGTTTACTGAAAAATAAAATTTTTATTTTAACAGTACGTTAATGTTATTTCATTAACAGTACTTTGTATTTTTACAACTAAGTCGGCACTCAACTGACCACTATTATATGTTTAGACTTCAGCTTTACTTATACGAAGCAGCAAAGTTTGAACACATAATTTCCATTTTAGAATTTTATGAAATACCGCTTACTTGACAATGAGTACGCGCTTATCTCACACATTTCTGCATTGATTTTGTATTGATTTTATATGGCAAATAGAACAGAATCTCTCACATTTTTGAAATAAATCCGAAAATGAGTTAAGTACGATAGTCTAAACATACTAAATTGCACCATTAATGTATTCCATAGCAACGGTAGACAGCACATACATATATTTACTATGCCATCGTATTGGATATAAGCGTTACTTTAAGCGTTTTAAATGGGTTTCAAATCGTCATTTTCATTGCGTATTACAACGGATGTGCGCCGAATATGTTAATTTCTAGCGCATTTAAAACGCTAAGCGCAAAGTATAAACGGATCACTTGGTAGTTTTACCAAAAACTTATCAAAACTTATTGGTGCTACTGAAATTATTTTTCTGAGCAAGAATTCTGAGAATATAGAATCCGCTATATTACGCAATATTGCGTAATATAATATGTGAGAAATGTATATTGGTATATGCAAAAATAAAAAAAGAAATTCCTTTCTAATAGATGTTAAATTAAATTTGAAATCGCTTTTTGGAGTATATTATTAAAAATAGAAATATATATTAAGCCAAATACCATATACTGCTAAATTCCGAAAGAGTGAAAAGGACAACAATATTACAGAATTCATAGAAGGGACAATATAAATTGTCTCTACACTTGTTTAGGTATTATTCGGCTTTGTGTTTATTATTCGGCCGCCATTTAAAATATAGTACAAATATAGAATATAGAAAAGAGTGAAAAAGACAACAACATAATATATTTCACGATAGGAATAATATTATTTATTTAATGTGTTTTTTATAAATAATAAACAATTTTATTTTTATATATTATTTAATGCAAGTCTATGTTGACGAATATTACAGTAAGAAAATTATAAGAAAAACCTGATAACAGATTATACAGGATAGAAAAATAAATGGAAAATGCAAAATATAAAATACAAACTACACTGGATCATATGAAAAGTATTTCATTGCAACAGTTCTTCCGTAGGTTATTTCAATTTTTTTTCGCTATTTTCCGATCTAAATTTATGCCTTCAGTCCGTGTGCGTAATGATTTTTTTTTCTCCTCACGTTTCGTCTCCTTTAGCCATATTTGGTATTCACGCTTTTCCAGCAACTCATGTTTTCTATGGCGTTTTATATATACTTCATCCCTTATGTCCTCAAGCATATTTTCGTCGTCACTCTTAGCAGAAGATGAATCAGAGTCAGAGGTGATTTCTCTCCATGATCGACCAAATCCTTCAGTACTTTTACTAGCAAACGAAGTGGAACTGCTAGCTTCACAGCGTATTGCTGCACTGCAGTCTTGGTCCTCAACATCAGTCTTTTTTTCTTTATTCTTTTTAGGCATTCTTATACGTTGGAAAATTAATTAATTGCTATAAGAATGAATTAAATAATAATACGATGTGATTTTAATTCGTGTGTTATGGATTTTAAATCAAACACCAAACAGTAGACGACCGCCAAAGCCGAACGTAAAACCCGATGGCAAGAAATTTTTTCAATTTTGACGTTTGTTGACTTTTTGAAGTTTTCATTGAAATGAAACTCTGGTAATGGGAAAATTGAAAATAGAACCAGGATTGTTCAATATTGCGTATACGCACGTTTTTCAAAATTATGAAAGTTTTGATACTTAGATTGTGTAAATATCGTCTTATATTATTAAATATAAAAAAAATTGGAGTAGTAAATCTATGATTTTCAATTCGGTAAGGCTGAAAAAGAAAGGTTGTGCAAAAGTCGTACAACCTTCGTGTTCCACGAACTACGAGTAGTAAATCTCAAGTAAAACACAAGTAAAATACAAACTGAGAGCGTAACACAAATAAAGTGCTAAATTATGCTCTTTACTCAAATTTTCATGGAACATCTTTGTTTTAAGTCTGGTGAGAACACCAGTTCCGCGCAAATAAACAATACAAAAATTTAAATTCAAACCAAAACAGCTGATTCACATATCAACACAAATTTTACTTGAAGTGAAATGGACGAGTAAAGTCTGCGCACCATTTTCAAATTTCGACAGGAATGTTACGCTCTCTCAGATGCTCTCATTTACTCTGAAATTTGCTGATGGAACGCACTTGTGTATATACAGTGTTACTCAAAGTTACTACGAGTAGCTCGTGGAAGAGACTTAATATTTAAAAGGCTAAAAAGTTGATCAATTTATTAGTAGTAAATGCACTACGAGTTCGAAATTTGTACCTCTTGTACTGAAAATTGCTTAACGACACTTTAAAACCTCTTTTTTATAGCATTAATTCGTTGTTACCGGGGATCTAAAAGTATGGGTTGTAAATTTGAGCATACCAATCTGTGGCGAACACATTAACCAGCGCAACGCCATCTGGCGTGAATGTAAAAACCAAAGAACAAACAGCAACTAACTTAATGGTCCAGCGTCCATTAGTATTTAGCGCGTTTTCTCAGAAGAGAGGGAAAAAATCACATAATTACGTGTAAAGCAATAAATGCTAGTTAAATAATAAATAGTTACAGCACATATTTAAAAGTGTTTTATTTAATAATAAAGTGGCGATACAGAAGTACCACAAATTCCAAACTAACCTAACATTATTGAAAAATCAACAAAAAAAAATTTGATTTCGTACAGTGTTATCTTATAACATCCCTGTTGCAAAAAGTTTGGTTATTGCACGTATTAGGAAAAATAATAATATTATATAAACGTAATTAATTTAGATAATGAAGTACCTTAACATTTAGAATGTGAGTGAATTATTTGTGCATATGTGTGCATATTGCTTAATGTAAATCAAAATGTGCTACTCCTTCTTGAAATATATTGACAACATATATAAACGCACATGGCAACACTGTAACCTTAAGTCAAAAAATAAAGCAAGGATTTAAAACCCTGAAAAGTTCTGTCATTCAAAATAGCTTTTCTGGTTCAAGATATATCTTTTGATATCTGCTGCTAACGTTTATCTGAAGAAATCAAGTCAAATGTATAACAATCATTTTAATTATCTGAGGTGAATATATCTTATTGGTTATTTAAAATAATATATTAGAAAAATTTAATGCATAAATAGTATATTTTAAATGATAAATCTAGTGCGTATATTTTTCCTATACTTTTCTATACTTAAAGTCTTAAGAAATGTCCGTGGTTTTTAGAAACTTTTTTCTTTTTTAGCGGATATAATCAGTTTTATATAAGAAAATGCCTATATACGGATGAAGTCATAAAAAGATTCAAAAAGGCTCGAGAATTTACAGTCAACAAAGCCATGATCACATGCATTTCTTTTTCGGTTAATGGACAGTTAATGGTGACAAGTTCACTAGATGATCAAATATGTGTTTATGACTGTAATACTGGTTTACTTAAGAGAGCGATACATGTAGATAATTATGGTGCAGACATTCTACGCCCCACCTCATTTTGGGAGATATTTTTCAGCTCAACTAAATTGAATGATGACCTCCGGCTTTTGGATGTGAATGAAAACAAATACATACGGTTTTTTAAGGGACATGACAAAAGAGTTACCTCTCTCGCTATCTGTCCATACTCGCGCCGATGTTTGTCCACATCCCTAGATAGAACTGCTGCATTATGGGACACGCGAGTTTTGAACAAGGTCGGAATGATCAATCATAACAGCGATAACTCTGTCGTAGCATTTGACCCATCTAGTTTAAACTTTGCGTTAGGTGTGAATGGTTCATTATTAAAGTTATATGATTGTCGGAATGTAATGAATGGACCAATAAAAACCTTTAAATATGCAAATGTGGAAGATTGGAGTCAAATCGAATTTTCATCTGATGGAAATTTTTGTTTAATAAGTACAAATAATGATGTAATACGACTTATTGATGCCAAACTTGGCGATCCAGTTCAATTATTTTCTGGATTTGCAAATACCGTGAAAATACCATTAAGAGCTAGCATAAGTCCTGATTCAAAATATGTATTATCGGGTAGTACTGATTGCCTAGTACACATTTGGAACCTAAATACAGGTCAGAAGGTCAAAACAGTCGTTGGTGATAAGTTTGGACCAGTACAATGTGTTGCTTTCCATCCGAAGAGCATGTTATTTGCCACTGCATCATATAAGAATACGTCTTTTTGGAGACCAGATATTTTTGAATAAGTGCAAACACAATATCTGTCTTCAACCATTGCAACCAAAAAAACTTCTTATTATTCCTTAAAAACTTACTTTTAATACTACATCCTACATTATAGTTCCCAGTTATCAAATTATAAGACTGAAATTCAACAAAACCAAATCTTCTGAAGAAACGTACTATTTTGAGTGATTACAATTTCAATTCGTTATAATCAGAATAAAAAATTCATTGCTAAAAACGTATAAAAATAGCAATCAATCATTATGTGATATTTCATCTAATGTTATTAATTAAGAAAATTCCGATTTTAAGAAAAATATAATAAAACATTATAAAAACTATCAAATATAAAAAAAAAAGGTTCTAACTTTTATTATATTTTTTATGATCATTGGTATTAGCATATAACGAAAACTATTCTAAACAGTTTACACGAAAGTCGTCTTCATCTTTATAACTGCATTTCCGAAAAGATATTACAAAAATTATTATATATAGCATATCAAGGATTACGATTGTCTTCTTCTTATATATGCAAATGAATACATATTCATCTTCTATTCGCTCTATTCAGTAATTGGGAAAACAAAAACATACGTATACTGACTTTAAGCACTGCATACTAGGTTTTTTTACCACAGAAATACGTGAACTAATCTGACAGTAACAATTAACGTTTGATAAACCCCTGAGACATGTTTTGAGGAACGGTTTTGAAAATTTCATTTTAATTTAGTAGGTACAAAATGTTAATATATTATATTGCTTCATATCTCTTTATTCAAATTCGCTTATTGTATAAATGATCCAATTTATTGATACTAGCTTATGTTACGCCCACTTAAGTAAAGCTGAACCAAACCAAAAGATTTCATCTGCCTAAACTTGCTTGACAATATTCAGACATTTTAAGTTTGATTTCCAGTTTAACTACTGGTAGTGAGACACCAATATGTGAGTAGGGCGTTTCCTTACTAATGTCAGAGAGTGAAGTATTTGCCTTGGTAAGTTCGTCTGCTCTACAGTTGCTCGAGATGTCCCTGTGCTCTGTATGAATCCTATCTTTCTAGTGATTTCTTGAAAACTCTTTGCGGAAGTATATTTAGCAATACAGTAATCCCTTATAACGCTATTTCAATCCCCCATATTACAAAGGCATTCCCCCATATAGCACGGGTATTTGTACAGTTCATAATTAGCTTCGCGTACCTTTGTATGTGTGTATACGGATTATACGGAAATACCCCTATAACGCGTTTTTCTATAACGCGAAACCAATCTACTACGTTATAGGGGGATTACAGTATATCACTACGATAACCACTATTTGTTTGCAACGATTTTATTAATAACCTGAATTTATTTCTTAACTAACTTGAGAGAAATCTACTAAAAATGAAACTCATGAAAACATAATAATGAGGATGATTCAGTCAATGAATATTTTGTAATTTTAGATAGATAGAATTTTAAATAGATGCCCACACAGAGTATTGCTTACCGTACCTAATGTATTACCCAAGACTTTGTCGCTTAATCAATAATTTTCAAAGACTATATCTTGAATATTTTGGAGAATTTCTATTACAAAAACAAGAAGTTGTTAAGTTAGAAATAATGAAATTTTAACAGCAGTTATGAAAAGTAACTAGCAAGTTAGTTTGAATGAATTAAAGAAAAATTAAATAAACACATCCAGCTGGTGGCACACACTGGATCAGTCGAATAGAACTTACTTTATTTAAAATTAATAAATACAGAATTACCCAGCAGATCTTAAAATGTTGCTTGAACATTTGACATCCAGTCATTTAAATGATGTGGGAAAATAGAGCGATACCCAAACAATGAAATGAGCAATGAACAATGAGATAAGAAAGAACTGTATATTACCTTGAAGTGCCAAGTCCTGCATAAAAAAATTTTTTTTCAGAACACGTCCCCAAAATTTTAATTTTTTATATTTTATTTAGATTCAGTTTTAAATTCTACAGCGAAATAAAAATTTTCAGGATATCATTATTTTTTGAAATTTTTCAATATTCTTTTATCTCCCGAAAAACACATCAAGTACATGCTTACTATATTTCCATGGAATGAATTTTCAAAGAATATACTACAAATATACTTATACAATATTTTTGATTTCGATTAGTAATAAAATTCTACATAAAACCTAAAAATTTCAGGACAATATTGTTCTTAAAAGTAAAAGTAATATTGCTTTTAGAAGTAATTAAAAAAACAAATTTATCAGGCGTCCTTCACGTTACTCATACGCACCATAACACCATTAAAACAATTTTAGAAACTTGAAATATAGCCATTTGAAAATGTGTCTAGAATGTCAATTCTCAAAACCGCAGGGACCCATATCTCCTAGAAAAGAAATTGCCAAATTTTTTCCCGAGATACGGGTCTTCTTATTTTATGAAAGGAGCTCATAAAAAAAATTTCAGTTAAATCGGAGGTGATGAGGTCAAAAAGGTATGGTCCATACACACATACACCAATAAAAATTGATTGAGTGTGGTAATTAATTTCCGGTAAGCACTACAGGTCATTTTCTATTAATTTTGTTGAAAATATTTGTAAATAAAATCAGTCACGTCCAATAATTTGATTATACAATATTTCCTGTCGTTCATTTAACAAATAGTGACTTGTTAATCTCTTAGCATTATCTAATGGATAAACGTCTATCACAGTATGTGATATTAAAATTAAAACATTTCATTTATAATTATAAGTCACATGCATTAACAAATTCATTTATTATTATTTACTTAATCTGATTTGTTTCAATGTAGTTTGTTATTGAATAGCATATAGTATATTATTTTTCAGTGGATATAGTATATATTTAAGCAGTTGTACAAGTAAATATTTCATTATACTCGAACTTGTGTATTCATTATTAAAGACAACTTATAATTACTCAACAAAATATAATGTTTACACAAATGGTAAAAAAGCCATATAACGATGACAAGGACAGCAAAAGTTATTATCTTTAATTTTTCTTTATTTCCAAATTGCACCCTGTATCTATAGGAAAAAGAAAATCTCCTCATTACGTAAGAAATTAGAGAAGAGATACTGGATTGCTTCAAAGACGTGGGATTCATATACTATTCCAGTACGTACATTTAGATCGTGTAGCATTTAATGCGCTGACTTACAGACTTTTAACTCAAAGGTATAATACCATACAATTCAAACTGCGTTCTAAATAGACGGATTATAAACTATCAAAGATCTGTTGTGCCTCCTTAATGCATTAAGTGTGTTTCTTAAAGTTAGATTTTCTCAATAACTTATAGTTTTGTATCTAAATTCACCGATTGTTAGTTCTTCTTCTGATATAAAATGCCCACCTACGTCTTTCTTCCGTTTATGCATCAATGCTGGGCAGAGTTTTAGCATTTACTTTGAGTTATAATTCTCTTCGCTACAAAACCAATAAATTCCTGTTGAGAATTCTACAAAAGTAAATTCCCAGTCTTGAATAGTGATAATACAACCAACAGTGTCTTATCAGAACTCTTGTAATGATGAATGAACAAATATTTGACAAAATATTGCTATTACATTGAATATTTTTTTTCTGTCATCAAATATTGTCAACGCAATTTTGTTTTATTTCAGCGATGATTTAGTGATGTTATATTTCGACAAGCGGGCTATGCAGGAATTAACAGAATAAAGAGGAGATAAAGTTTATCAAACAGTTTATATGGATATGTCCAACACTACAGGTGACTTCAATGCCTAAGAGCTTATATCTTCATTGAATGCTTTATTGAAAAATTAACAAAAGGATACTTATTGGATCTTGTTAACTTTACATGGGATCCCAAATGGTTTAACAATGAAGCATGTAGAGATATATTGAAAAGAAACATAAGTGTAATGCCTCTCCTAGGCATTACAATATATAATAGTTATCTTCATCTGTAGTAGATGTTAACCGGCGCTCGAAGAAAAAACACTCGTTGTTTCTACGTTCAGGATTGTCTAAAACTAGGTTTAAGTTATTGGACGCCCCATTCTTTAGCACAATCATCGATATTTCCAGCATTAGCATTAGCCAGATACTTGCTTTTATAATTGCATCCGACGAGAAATTTTGAAAACAGGTAATAGACACTAAGAGCCAAATTTGAAGAATACGGTGGGTGAGGAAGCAATTCATACCATAATTCATTTAATTTTGCAATGGTTTTCATTGACGTGTTTGTAGGTACGTTATCCTGTAAAAATAGCATTTTCTTCGTCAAATGTGGTCGTTTTTTCTTTAATTTCCTCATTCAATCGATCCAATAGTTTTCAATAGTAGTCTGATTTTATTGTTTTTCCCTTTTCATTTTTCCAAATAGTCTATGAAAATTATTCCATTTGAATACCAAAATATGGAAGCCAAAACTTTTCCAGACGATTGGTGAATTTGTGATCGTTTGAGAGCACTACCCCCGGGTGAATGGGTTATAACTATTCTCTAGCTTCTTGTTTTCAATAGCCTCAAGTATGAAGTAATGGATCCATGTTTCATAAATTGTCACTACTCGACAATTCGCTTACAGTCAACTAGATTGTGCATAAACATTTCTAAATAATGTTTTGAATGACGAAGTCCTTTTTTAATAGAGCAAACCCGTGAGCAAACGAGGTTCTCATATCCATAAAATATTCGATACACGTTCATATGATATGTTTGTCATATCTGTTATCTGCTATCTTAAGCAATTTAATTTTTTGATTATCCAACCCAATAACATGGATTTTTTCATTGTTTTTCTTTTTATATGTAACGTCTTTTGGACCACCCTGATGATTGTCATCAAAAACACTCGTACAACCACGTTTAAATTCAGCTTTCCTTTCAAATGGAGGATTGTTATTACTGAACCATATGCAGTTTTTTTTATTTGGTAGAGAAGTTTCGAACAGTAGTGAACTACAGCAACAAAACTTTTTTTTAATATTATTTTAATTAATTAAATTTTTAACTGACCATACAGCTATTTCGAGTATTACCAAATACTTACCATCAGTGGTCTTGGAATTATTTCGTATATGAAATTATTCGTAAATAATTTTTTGGAGACTGCAGGAACCAAGGGTTGAGCTTGTGCCCTGTCAGATTTAAAGCTCAGAGTTAGTGTTCATTAGCCAAGTGATACATTTTTTCCATTATTTTAATTATTTGTAAAGAGCTCACCAGGCATCTGATGAAGTCGAAACTTTTACAAAGTTTAAG